GAGCTGGCAGTACACCGTGAATGAGGTTTCGCACAATGGCGGAGACCCACGACAGGCACGCAACTATCGACCAATCGCTACCATTCCCATGCTTTACAAACTGTTTTCGATATTGCTTTGCCCGTCGACTCTACCGCTCCTTGATGCCCAACAGAGTTCGGACCAAGCAGGCTCCAGGCGCGGACGCAGGACCACTTATCACTTTTTCACCGCGGCTATCTTGCAAGAAATCGCAGACGAATGGAGGACCCCGCTCTACGTGGCGGCAGTTGACTTCAACAAAGCATTCGACAGCGTAACGCACCGCAGCATTTGGGAAGCGCTTATAGAGCAGGGCACACCACCAGCGTGCACGCAATTGCTGTCGAAACTGCCTCGGTCAGGGCCGACCAGAACAGTCGGACTTTTGAAATTCGACGCGGGACAAAGCAAGGCGACCCATTGAGTTCATTATTGTTCAACAGCGTTTCCGAGCACGTGATGCGGCGGGCGAAACAAGTTCGGACTTCGAAGAACATTGGAATCTGCTTAGAGACCCACGCCAACGACCGCCTCGCGAATCTCCGCTTTGGTGATGACATTCTCCCTGTCGCCGGAACGCTTGACCACGTCGAGAGCATGCTGGGGGTCCTGAGCGGGGAAGCAGGAGAGGTTTGGTTTGCCTCCGCCCGGACAAAACGAAGATCCTGCACAACGGACGCAGACCATCAAGAGCACAGCGACCACCCACGCGCTTGGATGTCCGGGGTATGAGTATAGAAGTCATACCGCCTTATCAGAGCCCCAAATACTTGGGGAGGACAGTGCAGTGGGGCGGTCTTTATGTGACAGAGGTAGAGAGTCGCATCGCCACGGCTTGGCGCAAATTTCACACGTTGAAGGCTGAACTTACAAGCAACCGCTACTCTCTCAACGGCCGGCTCAAACTTTCCAACGGAACGATCGCCCCGATGGTTCTTTATGGGTGCGAAGCTTGGACCACTGCAAAACAAGTGGAACAACGTTTGCGGAAGGCTCAACGGCCGATGCTCCGGATGATCGCGCGCATGCCGCGTCGCATGGCCAACGCAACCGCGCCGATGCAACAGCGCCATCCTGACGCGGATGCGCTGTCTGGTGAGAGCGTCCGCAGTGACGCGCGCAGCCGCGACGCCCAAACCAGTTCTAGCAATAATGGCGACGCCGCAACGCCCTCCTCTACGCCATGCGACATTCCTCAAGCAGAAGTGGAATAGTCCTGGGCGGACTGGGTCCGACGACCCACGCACGCCGCAGAAGAGAACCTGAAGCGGCTCAATATCGACGGCTGGACAACGTTAGCACGAAGGCAAAAATGGAGGTGGGTGCGGCGCCTCGCAACGACAGAAGCCGCCGAATGGGCGAAACTTGCTTTGCAGTGGACGCCGGAACAGGACCTCAGTTACAATGCAACCCGCCGAACAGGACGGCCCAAACAAATATGGATACACGATTTGAGGCAATATTTGTGCACGGCATACAACGACGCAGCTACGACAACAAGCTTATCGGGCTTCATTCTATCACCATTATCCCCATCATCCGTCACACCTTTACAAATACCTGGTATTGCTTCAACGAAAATGTGGGGAACTCTCGAAGATGGCTTCGTGCGCCGACATTAACGGTGGCACGACTCCCGAGTCCCCGACTCTGGAAGCACGACTCCCGATCAGCTCGCTGACACGAATCCCGATTTCCCGACTCTGGCGGCAGTTCTTTCTCTCTCCGTCCCCGACTCCGACTCCGGCTCCCTTCTTTCTGACTCCCGCTTTCCCATTGCATCCCTCCTACTCTGGTTCCTACTCCGGCTCCCATCTTTCCGACTCTTGCTCTCCCATCCCACCCCTCCGTTTCCCGCTACGACTCCGGGTCCCGTCGTTCCGACTCCGGCTCTCCCTTCTCATCCTCCCGACTCCAGCTCCGACTCCAGGTCCCATCTTTCCGACTCCAGCTCTCCCATCTCATCTCTCCGACTCTTGCTCCGATTCCTGCTCCCTTCTTTCCGACTCTGGCTCGCCCATCTCATCTCTCCGACTCCGGCTCCGACTCCGGCCCCAACTCCGGGTCCCAATTTTCCGACTCCAGGTCCTTCCCCATCTCTCCGACTCCAGCCCCGATTCCTATTTCCATCTTTCCGACGGTGGTCCCGACTCTGGTCACATGTAGTCGACTGGCAGTGCGTGTGGTTTTTTTCTCCGACTGCGGCTCCGGCACCCACTCCCATCTCTCCGACCTGGTTGCCATTTCCCGACCCCGGCTTCTGAGCGGCCATCCACTTCCGGCGCCCCGGCGCCCTCCCGCCGCACCCTCATAGGTGCCTCGACGCGGGCTTTTGTCTCTTGTCTTGTCTTGGGGCTTCCTGGGGCCTCTTGCGGGAGTATTGCGAAGGCTGGCTGTGCGGCCAGTGCCGCCGACCCTGAAGGCGGGACCTTTCCCAGGATCTTCCCTGGCGACCTCCCCTGCAGGGCCCGCCGGGACT